GGAAATCCCGTTCCTAGAAACGCGTCTTCACGCAAAATGCATCAGTCAGCCAAATGAATGTGGCGGTCGTACGAAAGCGCCATGTACCACGCATGTACAATTCTTCGACGCCGCGTACGCTGTTTGCGAGCTCTATGCATTTCACCACATGCCGCACGCGTATGCATCGCCATTGGTGCATTTATCGGAGCACTTGCTAGGAAAATTCCTATGGATACATGGCGGCCGGGGAGTTTGGCTTGGATTCTGTAATAGGTGAGTCATAGTATTCAAATTTCAGGTTAAGTGTCAGCGAGGGTACGCATTGTTGTGGTCAGTATAGAAGTAATAGACTTGACGGCCTTACTGTCCGAGCAGAACACAATTTTCTACGGGCCAGCGCTAGTTTCACACACGATATGATCAGCTGTTCGGCCTCGTGGGTGCATTGTAATATTCTCCACTCATGCAATCAGAGATCATTTAATAATTGTTGAATAAGTTGATCCGCATTCTGACGATTTCGTTTTCGTGTTTTAGGTATTTATCTGGGCAGAAAGCGATATTAATTTAATGTAATTACAAAATAGACCTATACTGAGGAGTGATGGATTTATACGTATTGGTCCAAGTTTATTTCAGCTTGCGGGACTTTCCAGGGGGGTTGATAGCATGTCTTGTGTATGTGTGTGTGTGTGTGTGTGTGCGCGAGGGGGGGGGGGGAGTGCTGTTAGACATTACAAGTATACTACGAGTCATCACATATTTCATTTTCCATTTTCATTTCCCCCTCTCTCCCTCTTCCTCTTTAGCTACGCCACAATATGGCTTGCAACTAAAGAAATATAAATATTCATAGCTTTACTTGATAAAATAACATAAACATAAGTGAAGGTTACGATTACATCATTTGTAAGCTTAAAATATACGGCATTGAAAATGAATTGGGTTTGGTCGCCAGTAGTTGTTCTAGATGGGGTTAAGGGACTCATGCCCCGAATTCATCACCCCCATTTTCACGATTATACATGAATTTAGGCAAGGCACATTCAGAAAATAAATGCAAGAACCCAAAAGCTACCCAACCCATCCACGTTTTAATCATCAATATAGATCAGACAATTAAGATTCGGAGTAGGCTTGCCGTGGCGAATGTAGCATTGAGTGAAATGACTACCACAACACCCCCCCCCCCCCCCACGGGCCCAGTTTGAAGGCTCGGGAAAGGCTTTATAAGCTATAAATTGACTATAGCATTTACTCACCATATATAGCAAATTCCCTTTTCCCACTGTGTAATACACTAAATATCGGAATACGATTAGAACATTCGTATATACATATAGACGGTAACACTTTAATGATCAAATTAAACATTCAAATACATCCTTAAAAGAAAAAGGAGATTTTTTATGGAATAACTAGCTATTTTGATACAATTCACATTTTCAAATTGTCAGGAATATATATGTTGAACTCGATATGCTGATTCATCCGCACCAATCAGGTCATATCCACATATTGACATAAGGGCAACCAAGTATATGTCAATATACATATTTATGCTCTACTGAATGTTAAGAATCATCAAACCGTGATATATTACCATCTGCATAATTCGTTTTTCAAGTTTCTAGTCGATATAATTCTAAAGAGCACGCAAAATACAATCCCATATGAGGAGCTCCGTATAATGAATACACCACGGATTCCTTTTATAATGACTATGATTAATGGTTGATCTTTGTGTGCGTCTTTTCCTTTTGTATTTGCAATTTCTATGCCTCCCGCAGGTCCTTTAAAAAGGAGTTGAACAATCAGACAATCATATAGCTACAGCTGTCAGAATTTCATGTTATTCCATTTTCACTTCTCGTTTTATGTTTTTATATCACAGAAAAAAGTACAAGTTGATATTTCAAGGCATTGAACAATTATAACGCTGGGACCCTTTGGAAAACGAAAGCATATTTTGATATCTAGGTCGTAATGCATGTATGTGCTTGTATTACAGCTCAACAAACATAATTTAATGGCCATAGGTTTTTACATAAAACGGTCTTGACTCCCATTTCAGAAACTTGGTATTGATTTTCTTGCCAGACCCTATTTGTTTCTGTAGTGTGAATAACATCAAACACAATTTGCATATCGTACGATTTGAGGGCATATATTTTTTTTTGGAGTTAATGTGTCATTTATAAAAATTAAAATGCTTTGAAATAAAGAAAGGGTATAAAATCAGTGTGTATCAGTACTTTATTAAAAAATAACCACGCCAATGTAAGAACGAGATACAGTTTACTTCTCTGTGTAATTAAGCCTACATAATATTCCATGATGCTATTGCCTTGCATAATGTCATTTAATTATGTATATAATATATATGAAAAGTATGAATAGTTTAGTTGTTGACTGTATAATGTATATTATACAGTTAACAATTAAACTGTTCATACCCTTTGTAAACTTGATGGGTGTTGTGTTTTTCGTATCTCAAGAATAAAATGTGGACTGGTTGAACCAGGGCCCTTATTGAATACTTTTAGATGTAAGCTTAAACTTGTAACATTCTCAAGTAACATAAATTGGGACAAATATTGTTTTCAAATAGTTAAACAATTACAAAACTTGACTAGGGTACGAATGATATATTTGCTAACTGTATGTATATAAAGCTCTGTGGCACCTGGTCCGGAGTCGATCGCTCCATTGCCAATTTCTGGTACGAACCAACCCTCGACCTTCGACCTTTACGTTACCATAAAACTAACATAAACAAAAACTTCAACCATAATCATCTATCTTTGACACAATGAAGTCCAGCACAGATGTCGTAATAGGGACTTTTAGATTTTCGCACAGCGGACTGCTACGCGTGACGTTTGTACGTCGACATAGTGGACTGCTACGTGTGTCTTCTTTTTAAGGCACTAGAAGAAAAGTCCCTATTATACCGTCAAATTCATTTGGAAATGATAATAAGGATGTGTATTCTGTTGGAATTACACTGTTGCAATTCTGAATGATTTAGGATCATTTCCCCTCCAGTGCGATCAGATCATTCTACTGCAACATTTTTACCCTAATTATGTCGGCGCTTTTCCATTTTAAAGATAAGATAAATAATGCAAATTGCCATGAACATAATGAAACATATGTTTTGAGTAATCACACAAAAAGGCATCGGGGAATGCAAGTTGCCAGGATTGGATGATTTATTGTTTGTATATTGTAAAATATTTGCAGACGCAATGTTCCAAAGGTTTTGCAAATTGTGTGATAACGTATACCATAACGAAACAAAATACAAATCACTGGCAAACTGGATTATGATCTACTCTTGTTTTTTGCACCGTCATATTAAAGGAAACCAGAACCTTTATACTAAGTTACTTTTATTGTAAAGTTTAAGATATTTGAAAAATATCAGTGAAAATTTGAACAAAATCGGGCAAGGAATAAGGAAGTAAGAGCTTTTTTAAATTACTAGTCACTAGAGGGCGGTATTCAATTTGATGACATCATCTCTGAACAACTCTCCATGCCTTTTGTACATAACATTTCACAATTTTTTTGTTTTCTTCATATTTATTTGTGTTCTTGGTCCGACTTCATAACATGTGAAGTAGAATATCATTTTGCATTCTATATCTTGCTTTCAGGGGAGTACATTATCTCAATCACAAGAAAGAAGGAAAAACATGAAATTTGATGTACAAAAGGCATGGAGAGTTGTTTACAGATGATGTCATCAAATTGAATACCGCCCTCTAGTGACTAGTAATTTAAAAAAGCTCTCACTTCCTTAATCCTTGCCCGATTTTGTTCAAATTTTCACTGATATTTTTCAAACATCTTAAACTTTACAATAAAAGTAACTTAGTATGAAGGTTTTGGTTTCCTTTAAATGACAGATGCACAGTTTGGGGATTGTCCAACGATGAAACGCTTGACAAAAGCGGATGCATATGGGGATGTTGAGGGCACGCCCCCCTACAATACCATGAATACAATGCGTGGAAATGTTGGTTGGTTTATTAGTTTGTTTTACCTGACTGCTAAGATAGCATGTGTGTGCTTGTAAGTAAGCAACCAAGGGACCGACGGCGATAAGTCCTCTCCGAGGGACTTGGTAACATGGAGTAGTGCCTTACCAAAGGGCACTAGCGTATCGACTTGGTTTCGTGCCCGAGTCCTCCCAGTTGCTAGACCCCTTATCCACCTCTGTCACATCACGCAATGTGTAGCACCAGATCGAATATTGGAACCCTCTTTTTGTCTTGGAATTTAAGAAATATGCCCCGATCAAAATATGACATTTTATTGCACTTTATAGCATTTTTGAGACAAATTATGCTCCCCCACCCCCCTCCGTCAACAGTCCTGCATGTGACCGCCACTGATTTATACAATGTCATACTGTTGTAGTAACAGTTCAAAACAGGAACAAAATTGGGAAAACACCTCCTAACTAGATGATTAAGATGTTAACACATGCAGAAAACGAAATATTATGGCACATCCGTTCCATGTGGGTGTAAACTGCTTTTATGGTAGATAGGTTTTAACAATGGTCGGGGTCATTTCAAAACTATTGTAGTCGTTACAGATGGGATTGTATGATAATGATTGTTACGAAGAAAACACAAAACTATTATGCATGGGTAAAGAGCAGCTCCTTGAATGTTTTGGGGTTTTTTGCGGTTAGCCGACGGGTAGATTGAACTGCATTAAGCTCTTCGTTTATGAATAGGCAGCCATGCATGAACATGACTGGAAAATCTGCAAAGAAATTCTGTGACGTACATGTATCATGCATGAAATAATAGGTCGATGTGGAACACTGTCTTCAAACCTTGATATTCCAAAACGAAAGTAGATCTTCCTATAGACTGTCTATCGTGGAGTTAATCACCTAGTAAAGATCTCGGGAACTGCAAAACATTGTGTAAACAAATTATAAAGCTTTTCAAACAAGCAAAGAGACGGAAGCCATTTGCATTGAAAAAGAGAAACGCTTGTAGTTAAATGCTTTCTAAAATGAAATTTGTCTCAATATTAGAAAATCATGCAATTGTATTAAGGAGGTGAGAACTTATGCTGACCTTCGCGTGTTACATAATAATATTTGAAGGGTTATAAAGCTTGAAGATAACTTAATAGAATTACCTGGCCAGGATTTCATTGCGTTTGAAAGCAAGGGACTAAATGTTGTGTTGGACGAGGGGAATTTTTGTGAAATATTCGGACCGTAAATAGGTTTGCATCAGTAGGCAGAAAGCCAATATTTGTCCTTTTTTAATATTTGTTGAATATATTTTGTACTTAACTTTATATTTGGGAGATTGTCATAAATTGTGAATAAGTCACATCCTGATTGCTATCGTGTCTTTTATGTTACAGATGTGAGAAGTTTTGCCGAAAAGTTCCGCGAGAGACAATGTCAGCCAACCCAAATCCAATGAGTCGTCCCTGCAGTGCGGCCTACCTGTATATCTACCATGATGCACTTGTTGTATGACATCTGTCAGATGTCTATCTGTTAGCACTTTTAAAAGTTCATCGATACAAAGTTACCGGCACTTCAAATTGAAGTTCAATTCTCGATTGTTGAGTCCTATCGATTTTTAGTCTTTACCCAATATAAAACACAGTCCGTTTGCCATACATTTAGGCATACAGCGGACACCAATCACTTGTCAAAGCACCTTTCGTAGTCACTGGCACCTATCATACCTTCATATAGGCCTACATCGAACACGAAACACCTGTCAGAGCACATTTCTTAGTCGCTGGCACCTTTCATACCTTCATATAGGCCTACATCGAACACGAAACACCTGTCAGAGCACATTTCTTAGTCGCTGGCACCTTTCATACCTCCATATAGACTTACACCAGACACCAAGCACCTGTCAGAGCACATTTCCTAGTTGATGGCACCTATCATACCTCCATATAGGCCTACACCGGACACCAAGCACCTGTCAGAGCACATTTCTTAGTCGCTGGCACCTATCATACCTCCATATAGGCTTACACCGGACACAAAGCACCCGTCAGAGCACCTGTCTTAGTCGCTGGCACCTATCATACCTCCATATAGGTCTACACCGGACACCAAGCACTTGTCAGAGCACCTTTCTTAGAAGCTGGCACCTATCATACCTCCATATAGGCTTACAGCGGAAACAAAGCACCCTTCAGAACACCTTTCATGGCGTAGCACGTTTTTAATCCAACATAATTTCTTGCTGCACCCGATGTCAAACACACTGAAGCACTGTATCTGCTAGAGAACTTCCTTCATAGTGGATATCTGGTCGTCCATCGCGCTGCAGCACAACTTTTACGACACCGCTACCTGTCCCTACCAAAGACAATCATCATGAAGAAATCCATCCTTTTCGTTTCAGGAACACTCTGGGCTTTCTCTGTATTCGTTGGAAAATCATGTCCCTCTGCGGTAAGCATTTAAAACTCCTATTCAATCATCTGAAGTTCAGCTTGTGGAAGAAGCTCAATCATCCAAAATTAAACTTATGGAAGAAGCTTGATCATCCCAAAAAGTTGACAACATTGACATTTTCTTAGCCTGCCTTTTCATGGCTGGTTCGAATAGTAGGAATCAGCGGCTACAAAGTAGACCTAAACAAATCTAAAATCTTGTTTACAACGTCTGCTTTAGTCAGCAGCAAATTTCTATTAAATTCCAAGTAAATCTTCGGGAATGAGTATCATTTGTTTCGTGATAGAATGAGAAGAAGGTATATCTCTTTAGATGACTAACAAAACCCCCTTAAATTTCAATAAGTGCTTCTAATTGCAGCTAATGTACTCAAACTTTCTGGTCTACTTAGTTTCACGTCATTTTTTTTATTTACCTCAAATATTTACACAATACCTGAATTTCTCATTTCCTTTAGACTCCAATTTATATATATACATATATATATATATAATATATATATATATATATATATATATATATATACATACGTATTAATTTAAAGCATTCGGCTACTCTCCTTTCTGTCTTTTCCCACTTCATATAGATCTACCCGTTAAATTCTGATGATTCAAATGATGGCGCCATTTTGGAAAAGAATAGTAACAAATTAGATTTACCACGTGATATGTCGCAGCCAATCATTGCCCGTTTCGCCAGGGATGTAACAGGTAATATATTTATTATTGTTTTCATATTACATTCTCAAAGTCATTTTCATCCCTTCTCGATCACTTGTCATTTGGTATACTCTCGTTACCTCCATTCTTCTAAAGAAGTGTTTCTGATTTTGTGTTTCTGTGACGAATAGCCAATTTAATTCAATTCTATAAATTGAAGTTCTAAGACTACCAACATACAATCAAAGGTGTTGTCTTCGAGTATCTCCTCATTACGACATTTCAGTAGAAGTCTCGTAAAACTGTTCAGACATTTCGCGAGACCGGCAGTCTCTGTCTCGTGAGCCATCGGTCTCGCGAGCTGTCGATACCGTTGGGATGGACCATCGCCTGCTCTTGCAAACAACTGCTCCGAGCTTTGTTTCGTAAAATGTATAGGTTTAGGATAAGGGGTGCAAAACTGGTTTTTAGGTTACCTTGTAAAGGCTTAGTTCAGGTTAAGGGTTTAGGAATAGTATTAGGTCAGCTGGTGATACGTTAGTGTAGGATATTGTTGCGGAGCAATTGTCACAGGAGCTGTACAACCATTGTCGGCTTCCGCTTCATTTATCATTTTTGTATTTATTTGCAGGTGAAGACCCCAAAGTTCCAATTCATCTTCTCATCATCATCATTCCTGTTGTCATGGGGATTGTTGTTATTATCATAATCGTGTTGGTTGTTTGCTACATGTGCCGGAGATCTGAAAGGGGCACTTGCATCTCGAACGAATGGTTGATCTGGTGCGGTCTTACGAAACGCAGTGAGTTGGGACGAATCCGTACATTTAAAAAATATTTGTTCACCTTGACAACACTCGTAATGGACTGTAATAAAAATGCAGATATCGTACATGTATATCGTTTTGTAATTATTTTGTATTGAGCTATTGATGATATAATATCACCTTCTAAAAAATATCATTCAGTTTACGGATATCACAATGAAAAACTTGAGAAAAAAAAACACATATTACTTACGAATAAAGAGAAGAGATGTGTAGAGAGGGTAAAAATGAACGATCATAATTACATCGGATATACATGTATGATGTAGCCATATAATAACCCTACCTCTACCTTATTGAAGAACTAACTTCCATCCCACTCGGTTACAAATTAGGCATCAAGCTGTTGGATGCGGCAAATAAACAAATATTGACTGCTTAATTTTCGGGTCGCGGTAAAACTATAGCTCCTCGGTGATCTGGAGACTTCTCTATGCACAGTATACAGTTTCGAGATTACCGTGGGCTATAGTTTTAACCGTGCCCCTCAAAGCAGTCAAAATGTGTATACTACGTAACCGGCTTTCGGAGATGTTAATGAGAAGTTTCATACAAGGCTAGTCATTCAGTTAAAGTCTGACATATGCCCGGCGAAAATCGCTTCTGCCTTTACTTCGTCAGAGATATAGGGTTGCACTAAGGTTTTAGGTTCGGTTTAAGGTTAAGGTTAGGCATAGTATTGAGTTCAGTTAGTAATTCGGTTCGTGTAGGGTAATGACCTTGAAGCAATGGTTGTAGGGGTGTTTGTCGTACAACCCGTCTACGTTTGTCTGAGAGTATAACTTAAATAAGTTACATGCCAATCATGATAATTGTATCATTTCTTCATTTTGGTAGGTAACGATTCTTCAGTGCGCGACCCAGGTGACCACAGGTAAGTTAAAAGCTGACAGTAATCACACTTCTTTGACCCCCCTGGTGTGATCTAGAGTTTATAATACAATCCCCGATGATTTGTTTTAGCCTAAAAACTTTAACTGAAACAATTTAAAAATGAACATTTTATAACCCAAGCAAGGGAAGATGAGAGTCTTTCAGAGTGGGATAATCTTTATATTACAGTTTCTCAACCCCTTTTTCCATGAATAGTTGTGCCTTCCGGTTCAAATAAGGTCACGTTGTATTGTATGATCATCCAAACGAAATGGAATAATAGTCAATACTTCACACAATGGAACATCATGAGTTCCTACCCTAGGTAACTGTACTGAAGGAGAACTTAACTTTCTGTGTTTATTTTCGATATGCAGGTCAGCCATTGCTTCTGATGCTCCTTCTGATAGGAGAGGAGTCAGGTATGAACCTCGACAGAATGCAATGTCTCCCACCCATGATGAATCGGACGACAGATTACTAACAGATACACCACAGCGGGTCGAGAGGGAGGATCATACCGGAGCATGCCCATCGGAGTGGTCTCCAAACACTATTCCAGGCACCCCTAACACCGGTAAGTCGTCACTACAAACTGATGACGAATGGTCACCACATTCAAGGAACACGGATACGGTGCATCAGAGCGGAACCCCCAAGTTCACGTTTCAAGGGAATGAAAAGACTGATGATGGAAGAGACAATGGCAAAGCCGATAGGAGTGGTTCAGAGGACGATGTATTTAAACCAGGAATAGATGGTGTTAGTGATACAGGCTCTAAAGATATAGGTCCTGGAAGGAAACGAAAAGGTGCATGTGCTTCAGGAGCGGGTGCCGATGAGGATACGGTCACCCGGGACAACCAATCTCCAATTTTGGTTAACAATTTGCCCCATGGTAGTGACTCCATGGACAGTCATCATGTGGAGGAAGATGAGCCTGAAATGGAACGTCTTCTTCCAAATGAACAAAACTATACGCGATCCAAAGTGTCTCACGGACACCTTTCCAATCAAGAATGGCAAAGAAAGTTCCCAAGTAGTGCCCCTCCAGGAGATACTCACCGAGACATTAGGGGGAAAAATGTATTCCTAATTGTTAGTGGAAATGCCCAGGTTGGTTTTTATAATCATGTCGAAGATGTCCAAGTAGGGAACAGAGAGATACATGTAAATAACAACTATTTGCCCCAAGACGTTACCAACTCAAGACACGATACCGGCGCATTCAATCGTTCTTCCAGTGAACGTCAAACTCGTTAGGTGATGGACATCGCGTAAAATTAAAAAATAAAATAGCCGCAGTTTTATCTGAATGAGGCACTTCTCGTCACCCTTTTTCTCCTTCTGTCTCCATCCATCGTAACCTAACCAACAACGAAAATGTCAGAAATTATCAATAACAAATGCTAAATTTCTATGATAAATTTTCTCTCAGCCAATCAAATGCCACGATTTCAGTAGCTTATAACAGATAAAGAGACTTGTTATTGATAATAAGTTTTATACAACACCTACTAAGATTCTTGCAACCTCATTGGGCAAGTCTTTATCACATGGCATGCGATAAAAAATAATGTTGAACAACATCATTCTCCAGGCGTGCGATTCCGTTTGATCAATTTGCACCATTGCACGCTGACGTCACTAACGGTGTACAAAGTATATTGTGAGGTAAGTGAAATTACCGTAACATCAATGGAACAAAATGGATCAAACGAAATTGCACTCTGACGTCACAATAAACATAAAGCATGATACGCGCGGCGCAGTTATGCCTATGGTTAATATTATGAACACTATCGGTAATTTCATAGATCGCTGAGATTTGGACTAGGCCCTAGGAAAGTGTTCTTTAAACAAAAATTGTTTTAAGCCCGTTAACGTCCGAGGTGTTGTATAAAACAAATAGTGAATAGATTTTTTCATTCGGTGAAAGATAAGACGGTCTATTTTTTTTACCTCGTGCAAACTCTTGTGCCATTTTACTCATGGTCATTCACTATTTGTATATTATGAAACAGGGCGATTGTAATATAGCAATGGCATCAATTTTTTTCTTCTTGTACTCAAAATGCTCATTGCCTATGTTGAAAGGGCTCCAGTACTTGATCATTTAAACTAGTTTTACTGTACTGGGATTCATTAAATATTATTAGAATAACTCTAATAATTTGTTTGCTGTGTAATTTCATTTTATCATTACAATCTAAAGACCCCCAATAATAAGCTCGTCTGTCTCTATTCTTGAAGAGATGATAACTAAACCCGAAGTATTTCATTCGATTTAAATAGCAGTTCAAAATCATCATTCCTATAAGTGAAAACATGTAGTATATAGTAAATTGTATATAACGAAGGAGAAAAATAACTGTAAATTTCAGACTTTGATCTTTTGGGTACATTATTTTAATTATTGTGTTTTAATATTTTGCCACGTGTTCATACTTGATTGATCTATCAAGGTACGTCGATTTACAGATCGTCATTTTCTAGTTTAAACGATTTTCACTCCAACGGTACTGAATAGACATAATTGCTGATTTTACATGACCTGACTAGTACATGTAGCTATATTTGGACGCTATATTGATCAGATGTAAATGATATTGTTTTATTTGGAATATAATTAGAAGGCGTTATATACAGTTTAACTTTTACTACCATCGTTTATGCTTTATTATGCTTTATATAGTTGATATTTGATAGTTGATAGTGGTGATTATTTTACCAGACAGCTTTAGAAAGCAATAAATGCTTGTTAGTAAGCAACCAGAAGACCGACGGCTTTAGGCCCTCTCCGAAGGACCTGGTAATGTGGACTAATGCCTTACCAAAGGGCACACGCTCAACGCCTTGGTTTCGAACCCGGGTCGCCGGATTACGAGACCACTGCTCTACCGACTGAGCTATCGTGTCTCCTCTAATTGGTCAGAATGTGTTTTTGAAATCAAATTCTTTTTATTCCGGAGTCTATGTTGTTTGCGGCTTTCATATCTACACTATGCTGCTGTTAAAGTCATAAATGTGTAATGTATATGCATTTTGAATATTTGTATATATTTCATATTGTAATAGTTTTATGGTTAAAGTAGATATTTACACTTAAAAAAAAGCTGTTTTGCATGTATTGACATGTTCATGTTAACGCTATTGTCTAATTGGGACAGACACTTCGGGCTTATGTAAGCACTTTTAATTTGCGCTAGCATATCTGTGCGTTATGGAACCAACTCATTGTGCCTTTCATTCTTCTGGTCTAAATTACTCTGTTTTAGACATGGATTACTCTTGAAAATTGTCTTTCATTTCTGATAAACAATTCTTTAATCATTCCAATAAATTTTAGTTTCCAAAGCGTGCTGTTTCCTGAATATTCCTTTTTTCATTTGATCTTTTTTATGTATCAAGTAGCGTACGAGTATAAACTGGAAATAGTCGTTTGTTTTTGTTGGGAAATGTCGCATCCGGAAACCTACCTCCTGGACATCCACCCCCGGATAACCGCCCCAGTCAACTACCCCCTAGGACAACTGACCCCTAGGGCAACCACCCTCTAGGACGACTACCCCGGGACAACTACCCCCAGACAACTACCCCCAAGGACAACTACCCGACAACTACCTCGGACAACTACCCCAGACAGCTACCCCCTAGGACAGTTCTCCGGGGGTAGGTGTTCTAGAGGATGGTTGTCGTAGGGGTAGTTGTCTGGGGGTAGTTGTCCGGTGGCAGTTGTTCGGGGGTAGTTGTCGGGGGGGGGGGTAGTTGTCCTAGGGGGTAGTTGTCTGGAGGTTAGTTGTCCGTGGGGTAGTTGTCCCGGGGTAGTCCTCCTAGAGGGTTGTTGCCCTAGGGGGTAGTTGTCATAGGGGGTAGTTGACTGTGGGTGGGTATCCAGGGGTTGGATGTCCAGGGGGTAGGTGTTCTAGAACCGGGAAATGTTGACTAAGTGGTCCCAGTCTAGACAAATACTTGCTACCAGTGTGCCACCCCCTTAAAAAAAAAACACGATGTATTTCCGCGTCATGTTGACGCATTGCTGAATCTCCTCAGTGTTGAGGACACGACTGCGCGCTGTGGCAGGATTCTTTACTGTCTCCTCGAACCTTCTCTGCCAAGAGAGATCTCAGGAGAGTCAGCTCTTCTGTGGGGAATAAAGCAGGACATTGAAGGAACATTTTACATTTGGATTGGCGGTTTAATTCTCAGTGAATAAAAATAGGGGAACTACAGTTTCTTAGCCCTTTGACATTCCTTTTCGCTCTCACCTCTCATTTCTTGGTTATCTTCTTCTTTCTTAAAATTACCATTACCCTCTTAAAGAGAAGGTTGAATTTTGGGGAGATGTGAATAATAATTTAAGAGCGTTTTCATTGTTATTATGCAAGTGTGGAGGAACATCAGAGAAAAAAATGTTCCCTGAAAAGCATGGCTCTTTAAATGCCTTCATATTCTAAATAATTAAATATGACATGTAACAGTTTAGAAATGGGCCTTATTTTTATGCCAAATGTTTGTGTAGTCCCATATACACCTTTTTGTGTTGCATTTTCCAAGACTGGGCCAAATTTCTTATATCTTTGAAGATTCCAGAACCTTCCAGAATGCACCAATACTTATATGCCACATGATCAACTTTTTCTGGTCGATTCCACAATGCAATCGCATGACCAGAACTCAACTTTTGTTTAAAGATCTCCGCAAACCACTTCCCTTTAATTGATCAAATCTTGTTTAGTTTTAATTATTTTCCTTTTCCACAGCGCTTGGTTATCATAATGCATAACATGTCTTATTTAAATGTTTAGACCGCACGGTCTCCGGTTGCCTAAACTGGCAAGTCGATACCGTCACTAACATTAGACTCGACCTCTATAGAAATTATCGACAATCTCTGTACACTAACACTCTTCGAATATAATCAGAAACAAATTACGAGAGTTTTCTTTGTATACCTGCGTTGGCACTGAGAGTTGGGACAAGGTTCTTCATGAAATAGCATTCCTTTGCATCGGGTTTCCCTGCACGGTTCTCGAATAGAGGAGTGAACTCTTTGTAGCTAGGTTCTAAGGGAGTATACTTGGACCAAGCTGGATATTTGGAACCAATAGCTTCTTTGTCCTTGGTAGATAAGTTCGGATCCCTAAAGACAATTAAGTCCGAGAGGAAGATGAAGAATTAATTTGTCGTCAAGCAGATCACTTTGATAACGATTTCAAAGTTTAGGATTCGGCTTAATGTACCTAAAATAAAAAACTTCCTACCTGCATGCCCTAATATATGAAGAATGCCTTGTAGCGTTTATTTATAGTTAAGTTAATTTGATATCAAGCCGGATCAGCTGCTGGAATGGTGTTGTCAATACACCATGCAACATGCTTAACTGATTACATATCATTATTTCATATCTTGATTAATCTGATTTGATTAAGAAATTGTGATGATTAAAGAGAATACAATGACTTCTTGTAGATCACTCTTATCCATCATGCAAGGTGCTCGAGTTTCTCCAAAAACTCCAGGCTTTAGCTAGGATACACGAATAAAAGAGTTGATTGCAAACGAGTCCTGCATGAGCCGGCCTCTGGGGCCCGTTTCATAAAACTTGTTATCCATAACAAATGCTCAATTTCTATGTTAAATTTGCTCTCAGCCAATCAGATGCCATGATTTCAGGAGCTTATAACAGTAGCTTGTAACTTGTTATTGATATCAAGTTTGCTCTCAGCCAATCAGATGCGGCCTTGATTTCAGTAGCTTATAACAGTAGCTTGTAACTTGTTATTGATATCAAGTTTTATGAAACAGGGCCCTGGTCTTACCCGGTTTTCGCAAAATTGGACCAGTATCTCATCATCTGGAGCGACATCTCGACCTCCTGTTCGTTGCCGAATCGACCAGTCAGTGCGGCGTCGCCATCGGAATCGCTCATGAAAGGTGAACCGAAGACGTAAGGGATATCCTCGGCGTGAGCGGCACCTAGCCAGTCGTACGTGCTGCCCCAGACCGAGAAGGAGGGGACATGGGGCATGAGGTAGGAGTACACGTCCCGCCCCGCCCTTGACAGGTCATCAGAGAGGTCAAAGGTCGGACAGAGGAACATGGCCTGGCCGATCAGTTTGGTAGCAGGTGATATGAAGTCGGCATCGGGATCAGACAACTATGAAAGGATGAGCGGAAAATGTTGGTAAGAGAAGTGGCACCCCGAAATAATTTCAGTAAAATGTAACTTTTGTTCTTAAAAAGTTGTCTACTTCAGAAACGTCCCTGTCATCCTAAGCTTCTGCCTATTTGCCCTTTTTTTTAATATCATAAATAACACCATTTAATATTTTTTAATTTGTTTTACCAAAATATTCAAATATGCCTAAGTTTGCTCTGGAAGTGATATCAGAAAAGAACACTCCTCTCTGATAAGTTAAGTTTCCTTGACATTTTTCTCATACTATTTTCAAGTTAGTGTGACACAATCGACATGAATGATATTTGATCTATTCGGATTTTGTCCTGCTTCTCATAGCATATTAACATACCTTGTTGATCCCCATCCAGTGCTTGCTTCTGTATTTTTTTCTCCAATTTCATATGATCTTAGAACCAGAAGTAAAGTCATTTTTAAAGTTAAGTTTGAGGTCAGAACGACAGCCCATGGACCGACACTAAAAAGGGTAGCGACAGGCAACGAGACCGACAAACAAAGAAACACACAAGACAATTTTCAAAAAAGGAAAGTTCTAAAAGGTTCATGCGACCAGCAGCCCACACGACCGGCGGCTGGGTTATGAGACTGACAGGCAAAAATCAAGACTGACAAAGGAAGAAAAGGTCTCGTCGGCCGTTCAATTTATCCTTTTGTTTAAAAGCGAGTTTAAAAAAGGAAGTTAGTCTTAGGATGAGTTTCAACTTCTCACCTCATCTTCTGTTGCAAACAGATGTTGGGCTATATCAAGAGTGATATGGTCATTCGTGTGTAGGTTCATTGCTATGACCTCTCGGAAGGTTGAGTGGTTCATAGGAAGAGGTTCGGTACCTTCCTGACCCATCATGGAGGGGATGATGAAGATAGATCCCTCATTCTGTGATAATATGGTAATGGTATCAGCAATATTAACAATAATAACAATAATAATAATAATAATAATCACAAATAATAATAGTAATAATAATAATAGTAATAATAGTAATAACAAGTAATAAAACTTATAACAATAATCTGAGTGATGATGGTGATAATACTCATAATCATCATTATTATTATAATACTAGTACTACAACTACAACTAATTCTTCTACTACTACTACTACTACTACTACACTCCTTGGGGGCTAGTTGTCTGTGGGTAGTTGCCCTAGGGGGTAGTTGTCCTGGGGGTAGTTGACTCGGGGTGGTTATCCGGGGGTGGTTGTCCAGGGGGTAGGTGTCCGGATACGAAGATACAGACATGTGCGTCACATTTACACCTTACGTCATCATATCGCAGCGGTTCTGCCACTTCATATCTGAACGAAGCATGAGATTACTATTACTTTCCTTTCACAACACGCAAAGGCCATAGCACAATCAACCAAGTGTTGATATACGTGAACATTACGCTGACGTTATTAATTACCAAATATGAAGGATAAAAAAAACCCAAAGGCAATTCTAACGGGTATCAAGATTGCCATCGAGTTGATTTCTCAAAAGCGAATTTAACTCACCCGCATGCAGCCGATCATGACGTCAACTCGATTGAACGATCCTTTCGACGCCATCTTGATCGGGTCATCGGGCAAGAACTGACCATCAGCCACGGGATGAACGAAGAATTCGCTTGAGATCACCGATGACTGCGGGATTGAAATCAGAAACACAATTTCCAGCACTTCATTTCAACCAGCGGAGAAGACTTGCAACAAAACGGTGTTTCCCGTTCGGTAGCTACTTAAAATACAATTTAATTTCGATATCAGTGTTTTGGACAGATGAATTGAATTGAGTTGAATGAACATTCTTGACATTTATACCTGATACTGTATTTTCTTCGAAAATCTGGTAGTATGGTCGGGTCATGAGGTGCGCGGTGGCCTTGAGTCAATCAATGTTACGCCCGTCACACACAAGGCGTCATAAAATTTTGTCTGACGAAGGACTGCGTCAGGAATTGGCGAGGTTTTTGCAAGGGCAATGTGAGAGTGCCATATAACAGAAAGTGAATAGCGTATGGGCTTGATTAACGCAAGTAATACTGCAATCGAAATACGCCTCATGTGCAATGACCAGTATATCTTTATCGGTGCATTACCCTTACCCCATCATTGTAGATATCAATGAAATCTTTAGCTGGTACGTGTCTAAGACACCGCACCAATTCGCTTGAAGTATTGACGTCACAGCCAACAGCTTTAGCTACGTTAAGGGTCATCTGAACTGCTTCCGCCATGTCAATGTGATGGGTCCACGTTGGTGTGACAGCTCCACTCTTCATGACAAAAAAGAGAGAGAAAGAGAGAGAGAGAGAGAGAGAGAGAGAGACAGACAGAGACAGAGAGATAAAGAGGGAGACAAAGAGAGAAAGATAGCTTGCTGTTTATTTAACCCGACATGCCAACATTATAGTCCAACAACCAGCGATATGTACCTTTTACATGATCTTACAAAGGGGAAAATGGAAAATCAAAATAAAGTATTCGTCTAAGTGTCCTGTAACAGTTGTAAAACAATGCACATCTGTTGATTGGCTTCAAGTCGGCCCTCATTCCCCAGGCCTCCTGGATGCATGTACATGTAACATGGGTGTTATCCCCTTATTTACAATCTTCCTCATAACGGCAAATTTTGAAATCTTAAATAATTATTGTTGCAAAATTAAAAACATTGATGACCGTCAAAAATTATCTAGGGATTTACAAAATAATAAAAGAACCTGTAACGTGTAACCAACCTGCATGATTGCTCGGGAGAAGAGACCAGCACTCATGGTAGATAGAAGGTGTAAATTGACGCTTGCCGACCCGGCGCTCTCCCCGAAGATCGTCACCCTGTTAGGGTCACCTCCGAAGGCTGATTAACACAAAAATTATTGACTTTTATTGTATAAACATATCAAATTCTATTCTGATTTTTGATTTGAGGTATTGATAAATGTTCAATATAACTCTGGAAACCTTCAAAATCTGCATGCTAGCTAATTCGCTAGTACTGTAGGTTGTAGGTGTCTCTATATCTCTTTCTCTCCCCTATTTCTCTTACCCCATCTCCCTCTTCCCTTTCAATCTCTCCTTACTCCCTGTCTTACCTTCAATATTGTGTTGAATCCAGATAAGAGCTTGTCTTTGATCTAACAGACCCAGGTTTGCTGGTATGGACCCGTCACCTGTAAGAGATCAACACACACTTAGATATCATAACATCAAAGTTGGTAACAAAAATACTCCGGACCTTTGTTGAGAAGGATATCATTGGAACGCCAAGGATTACTGTTTTTATATCATTGGTTTGAAAGTTCATCCATTATTGGATTGGAGTCACGTATGATATTTAAAATTCATGTTTGCTTTCTGCCATGTGAGCTTGACAACTTGCAGGAAAATAAAACTTGTCTGAAGTTTTTCCTATCAAGCAACAGTGTATGCAAAATATCAGTCTAAGGGGATATCAATAGCTTTGAATAAAATGTCTGACCAACATATTGTATGAGAAATGCTCATTAATCTGTATGCATCACGAGAGTAGTGTTTCAAATTTCGACACTAAATTACTTCTTTGAGTCAATAGACGTTATATTGATGATGTCCTACCAGTAGCCAAGAATCCCAAAGGTCCAAGTCTGTAATTGATAGTGACCACGATGACGTCATTGAAAGCAGCCAATGGCGCGGGGACTTGACCGGGCACGGAGCCGGTTCCTATGTGGTAGCCTCCACCGTGTATCCACATCATAACCGCCGCACTGTGGGGCTTCGCAGATCGAAATTGGGAATAACAATCACTAAATTTACTTGACCAGACACCAAAATATGTGGACGCATTCACCATTTAGTTTAATTATTGTAGGAAATTATATTTTAATGCCCAATGTACTCTCAGTCAACTGATAATTCAATCAATCAATAAAACAATAATATGCTATTAATTCAGTCATTACCCTGGGGCGGAAACCATTCTAAAACCGTTCAAGGAACATAGTATTGATATTAAACCCTGGATTGCTCTGAAAAGCAAAAGAACAAAACAAACAATAAATCGTTGGGAGCATTTGACCCCCTTCCAAATCGTTACGGATGAGGCCCCACCCCCTGATTTCTGCCCAGGCATTTGCTGGTCAATCATGACAAAGTAGTTTGCTCTATATCGCTTAGCGTCCAGACATTGTCGAGCAGGTCTAGTGAATGGTGAGGGCCCTGAGGGGGCACTATGCAGTGGCGGATCCAGGGGGGGGGGGGGGGGGGGGGGGGCCCGGCCCCCCCCCTTGAGAAAAAATCATGTAAAATCACGTGATTTTTACCTTTTTTTTGGGGTTGGGCCCCCCCCCCCCTGGCGCTCAAGGGGGGGGGGGGGGGTGCAAATTGAAATTTTTTTGAGGATCAAAAAAAAAAAAAATTGTGCTCTGTACACCCCCCCCCCCCCCCCCCCCCCCCCCCCCCCCACTGAGCGACTTTTCGGCCGGCGCGATTTTCAAATTTTCGGGAGCAAAAAAAAAAAAAGTTGGGCCCCCTCCCCTAAGAAATCCTGGATCCGCGCCTGGCACTATGCAAGGGTAGATGATACCAATTCAATATAAGACTTTCAGTAAGTACCTTTGGATTAGGAACGAATACATCGAGAGTAAGACAGTCTTCCGACTGTTCTGGTTTGATCTCCCAGATCTCATTCCTTGGTTGCGGACAAACCACAGTTGATCGAGTTGCGTCGAACTCCCCCTCGACAACCCTGGCGACGGGTCTTGTGAACCTGAGTTGGCCTACGGGCGGCTCGGCGTACGGGATCCGCGTGAAAGCCGATACACTACGATGGTAATCGTTCGGAAGCTGATGAGGTCGAATATCGAGTCGCTTTCCCAGGAAAGTCGCGGTTGACGTCTTTACGATGGGCTGCTCGATGTCGACAGCCGACACGGAGCCCTGAATGAACAAGGCCGCGACGACTAACACCCACCGAGAGAATGCAGGAGACATTTTGTGTTGTAAGTTTTAAACCACTGCGGTGCACAATAAATGTAAACCCAAAGTTTGTTCGACTTTAACACATGAATCATTATCATATCAATACAAAATTGCCCGTCTATATCTTCAGCATGAGCAACTTGACCTAAATAATAGGTCACATCTTTAACGTAAAGTTAAGTAAATAGTCTGAGCAAAGTCCATTTCTATATGCAGGCCTACATTTTTCTGTCCAAAGTTCCTTCGTTTCTCCTTTCTCTATAGCCCCTCATTCTTGTGCTTTTTATCTCCCACACTCTCTTTCTCTTTCTCTACCCCACTCTCTCTCTCTCTGTATACCCCCCTCTCTCTCTCTCTTTATCGATCATGTTGTAACGCATTTCCCTTTCATCGTAATCGACCCACAAATTTTCTTATCTTTTCTTTTTCCTTTACCATGGTTTTCAGGTCTTTCCTCAGTTTCATCCCACAAAAAATGGCGTAAACAGAAAAATGGAATTTCAATTTCAGATTTTAATAATCTAGGTAATAATTAATAAACATCATCCTTTCAGTCTTACATAATGTAGCTGCACAATGCTTTTTTAGTGTGGACCTAACAAGATTTACTCGTGCCTTCATTAAAAGGACGATTAAATAATAAATTGATTTATGTTGCACCTTTTCCCGAGGATACAGGGCACTGTCCCTTAGTCTAGGGACAAATTAACAAGACGGTTTCAGCTGTTTGTTAGAAATGCCGGATCGAGTTTGTTTGATAGGTGTGAGGTAACGGATTTATAGGATTTTAAGTCAACCTGACTTCGGGATTTGGGAAAGAGAAAAGAATGAGCTGATGTAGATGTACAGTAAGTAAATAATTGATGTTCTCTGTTGCTGAAAGAATGTTGAGATGTATAGAGGAAGTGTGCTTGGCATATATTTATTTGTGCTTTATATTCAAAGACGACTATTGTTCAGATTAATGACGATGATGAAAACAATGATGATGGCGATGATGAGGAAGAGGTTAGGAATGTGAGTAGCAAGACGATGAAGATGACGCTGATGTTAAAATTGCTTCCATTCTCATGTAACGCCTGGCTGGAATGCTCCCCAGGAAGTGGAAATTGTGCACATGTTGTGTGCCAGGCAAGCACTGAATCCAATGACCGTGGTAATAGTATATTTGTAAAGCGCTTAGAGACATTTATATTAAAGATGAAGTTGAGTTCTGGTCATGCGATTGCATTGTGAAAGAAACGGTGTAGAATCGACCAAAAAAAAGTTGATCATCTAGCATGTAAGAATTTGTGTGTATTGCAAGGTTCTGAAAACATCAAAATGATAAGAAATTTGGCAAAGTCTTGGTAAAGTTACAAACACTGTACACAGAAAGATGGATATGGGACTACACAAACAAATCCTACCCCCGAGTTTTACGATGTTACATGACATATTTAGAATATGAAGGCATTTGAAGAGCCATGCTTTTCAGGGAACATATCTTATCTGATGTTCTTCCACACTTGCATAACGCTCACAACTTATTTTTCACCTCTTCCCAGAACTCAACCTTCTCCTTAAGCGCTATATAAACATTAAATATTATAATTATTATTATTATTATGGTGATGACGACGAAGATGTGATCCAATCTTCTCACTGTTCAGGGCAGGATTGAGGGTCGACACACGATGCTTGGCTGGTTTCTTTGACCTTCTCCTCCAAGAGAGACTTTAGGTGCGCCATCTCATCTGTAACAGACAAAAAAAACCAAGCCAACGTAAGCCAATAAATACACAACTTAAAGTGTTTCTTCAAACATCTTTTTTGCTATAGTGAACCTCTTTCATGTCTCTTCGTCTTGTGCCTTAAATTGGTCTTCTTGGTTTTGTTCTTCCCTCTTTCGAATCTAATTCCTTACTCTTCTTCTCGTTTTTAATCTCAGTAAGAACAGCATAGTTGATCATGAGGCTTCCGTGGATTTAAATTTTTTTTTTTAAATTTCTATTGCTGCTATTATTATTATCAGTGTAATTATTATTACCACTATCATTGTTTAAATTGTTATTATTGTTGTTGTTAATATTTACCCCTTTTTCTTATACTTCCATCTCCCCATTCTTTCTTTCATCTCCCTCATCTACATCCGCTCCCTTTGATAACTAATTTTAACATTATTGCCCGTAGTTTATTCTCCTCAGTTTTCTATTCTCATAATCTCCAATCTTTTCTTTTCATGTATTCAAATGTCCTATTTTTGTTCTTGAAGTTTATAAAGTGATTATTATAAGTTCAAGAGAAAGTTAGTCAACGTCTTAAAATCACATAATATGTGTTAATGCTCATTAAGTTGTACACAAGCAGCTTCACTTGTTACGTGTGTGTGACAACTATACCGAGATTTTAATTTTAATTTTCAACACACCTAGTTCACCGATTGTGCAAATGAATAAAAATGGATTACAAACCTGCATTTTTAAGGAGGGATGGGACCAATTTATTCAGGAAATAGCACTCCTTTGCATTGGCCGTACCTGCACGGCTTTCAAAAGATGGAGAGAGTTCCTTGTAACTTGGGTCCGACGGGGTAGATTTGGACCAGAAAGTGTACTTAGAACCAGCGGCATCTTCAAGATTTGAAGACAAATTTGGATCTCTAAACAGGCAAAAGGAACAGAAAAGAAGCCTTGGTAAACTAGAGAAGATGTATAACTTCTGACGAAATTTAAACGGTTTATGACGGGATCAGAGAGCAACAAAATATGACCATTTCAGAATAATCTTTGTTAAAAGGTATATTTGATATTGTATAAAGATACTGAGCGCATCTTGATACCACATTATTTGCAACTGACAACGCAGCATAGTCTATTTAAAAGTAACTGATGGACATCAGTCAGGATGCAAGGCGAAACTTCGGCAAACCCACAGTTCATTTTGTCCTCGTTTTTCCTTCTTTCTTTCTTTGTCTGAGATTTTCAAGTGTGTGTCCTCCACCCTACCCCAGCAGGAGAAACCTGGATCCGCCATTGGTATACACTTGTCTTAACCTCACCCGGTCTTGGCAAAGTTGGACCAGTATTTCATGGTCTGAAGGGACATCTGGACCTCCTGTTCGTTTCCGAATTTACCAGCCCACTCTGGTGGGTCCTCTGGCAGTCGAAGGAAAGGAGCGCCGAAGACATACGGAATATCCTCAGTATGGGAGGCACCTAACCAGTCGTACTGGCTACCCCAAACAGAGATTGCGGGGTTGTGAGTCATTACGTATGAATAAACGTTTCGGCCAGCCCGCGAAAGGTCCTCGGACATGCCAAATGTAGGACACAACATCATCTTATCACCGATGAGTTTGTTGACCGAAGAAAGGTAGTCTGCATCAGGATCAGCAAGCTAAAAGGAAAAAGTCCAGAAACGCAGAAAATAAGTTAGGCCAAGCATCTGTTAGCACTTAATGAAATTGTTAATTTTGTTTAATGAAATTTGGCGGGGTGGGGGAAGCCCCCGAGGTAGAGAAGGTGAGACTCCCTCATATTAAATTCTCTATAGTGGGGAGAAGACACAACGCACACCCACTGAAGTCCACATACCCAATTCCACACGTCCATACATTATCGTGCATGAATTCGAAAACCAAAATACAATTATCTAGAATTCTTAGGTTCTTTAAAGGAAATTATAGAATGATGTCTGAATGGTTCTTCCGAGGCCAGATGTCTTAGGGTATAGTCGTCCAATGGGATGATTATCTCATTGCGTTGTTTTCTATAGGGGTAGCTGAGCAGTAAACAAAAATATTAAAAAAAATGAAGAAAAAGGGGATCCTTTACCTGTTCTGGGGTGGCAAACATGTTTTGAGCAAGGTCCAGTGTGAGAGGGTCTTGGGTCCTGAGATTCATTGCAATCATCTGGCGGAAGGTTGACAGGTTCATTGAGGGTGGCTCGATCAGGCCCCCACCTGTTATCATGGGCAGCGTAAACACCGATCCCTCGTCCTGCGATTGAAATGGAAGGCGTAAATTTGAATTTGCAAAGTCCAGAGTTTACTATTCCATTTTATACCCTTGAATGTTGTGCACATTAACTTTCACCTATCTTAATTGAATAATTTGTGTACAGTTGATTGGTTAGCTCCAAGCACTCTTGAAAGAAGTTTCAGGGGGGGGGGGGGGAAGATGTGAACATAGGATCTTTAAAAAATGTGAAATTATTTTTCACCTTTCCCGTTTTCCCCCCTCCCCGTTTTCAACCCCTCTAATTTTCCTCTAAACGGGAGCAATGGGGCTACGTGAATTTCGCCCCCTAAGATTCCCTAATGAACCTCATATTTAGACGTACGTTCTTCAAAAATTGATGATACTTTCAATAATAATAATAATAATAATAATAATAATAATAATAACGGTGCTTATAAAGCGCTCACCACCGAAGTCTCTAAGCGCTAACGAAGCACTATTTTGTTAGTAATTTAGATTGTCTCACCTTCGTGCAGCCAACCATGACGTTAACTTGATTGAACGATCCCTCCGATGCCATCTTGATCGGGTCATCGGACAGAAACTGCCCATCAGCCACGGGATGAAAGTAAAATGGAGCAGATAAGACACCCGGTGATTCCTGAAATAATAGAATAGATATATTTTGATGATTAAAAATGTTGGGTTTAGCTTCAAAAACATTTATTGCCGTGAATAATGTTGGATATATCCAATTTCAAATGATGGATTTGCATACTATGTATTGATATATTTCTTATATTCATTCGTAGATGATGATGATTATGATGGAGATGATGATGATGATGAAGATAGTGATGATTGTGGTGATGGTGATTGTGATGATGATGATGATGATGATAATGATAATAACTATATTGACGACGATGAGGATGATGATAGTGATGATGTCAATGATGACGATGATAAAGATGATGATTATGATTATAATGGTTATAATACTGATGATGGTGATGATAATGATGATAAAGATCATGATCATGATGATAGTGATGGTGGTGATTCTGATGATGATGCTGCTACTGCTGCTGATGATTATGATTTATGATTTTCATCATTTTATTTTGAAAGTCTAATGTGAAAGATGAACGTACCCCTTCGTAAATAGTGATGAAATCTTCAACCGGTTTGGCTCGAAGACATCGTACCAAAGCACTTGATGTTGTGACGTCACATCCCAGTGTCTTGCCCATGTCATAGGTCATCTTGACGACTTCAAACATGGTAGCGTGATGGGTCCAGGTATCGGTTAGGGCTCCACTCTTAAAAGATGTAATATATAATCTTGATGTA